ATGTGTATTAGTTTCCGAGGGTTGCCATAACAAACTACCACAGACTGAGTGACTTAAACAACAGAAATGTATTTCCTCACAGTTCTGGAGGCTAGTAGTCCAAGATCAACGTGTCAGCAGGTCTGGCTTCTTCTGAACCTCTCTCCTTGGTTTGCAGATGGCCACCTTCTCGTTGTGTCTTCACGTGGCCGTTTCTCTTGTGCGCACCTGCCCCTGGTGTCTGTGGATCCAAATTTCCTCTTCTTATAAAGCCACCAGTCAGGACTGGATTAGGGCCCACCCTAACAGCCTCACTGAACTTGAGCACTTCCTTAAAGGTCCTAGCTCAGTCACATTCTGAGATACTGGGGGTTAAGGCTTTAACATCTGAATTTGGGGGAAGACACAATTCAGCCCATAAAAACATGTAAGAGATTAATTGGCAGAAACATCTATAAGGATAAAAGGGATGAGAGCAGGAGAAGGTGGGAGATGCTACAGACTGTGCTATAAGTCTGGCACCTATGAAGGAGACAGAATAAAAAGGATTGCACAGGCAGGGTCTCAAGCTGCAGCTCAGTTCTAAGAAAGTTTCAGCTAGGCTGATGGGGGGGTCTAGAAGCCAAAGTTTCCCATTAGAGGAGTACCAAATTATGCAGCAATGGGCCTGCATTAGTATTCTTGCCATGCTAAGTCATTGGCCTGAACTGTTCAATTTCTATTTCTTCAGGGGTTTGCAAGAATCAAAGCTAGCTAAAGCTCTCTATATCCTTGAGTTAAAAACCTTTGTTATTTAAAAATACTCTACAAAATGATTGAAGTAAAAAATGATACACAGGGAAGCAGCCAAATCTAAAATGTCTTTTTATGTAAACAAATTGTAGTTACTAGAGATAAATGTGGATAAATGGATTTGGGGAATGTAATATTTAGAAAGAGAAAAGGGACCTAAATTTATTTGGAATTACTTTTTAAATTCTCCACATATTTTCTGCCTCACCCAGGAATGTCTGACACAATATGATGTTTGCTACATATATGATGTTTGCTAACAAATGTGAGTATTTTCAACATTTATCAGGCTATTAACTTTACCAAACTACTACACTTACTTCCAGTGGAATGACAAAGCTTCTAATCTACAATTGAAAAGTATCTTTACTGCAATACAGTTTATTTCATCTGTAAAATAATCATGGCAGCTTTCAATTAGGGATGATTTTTCTTTCTTTGCAAAAATGTGCAAAATAGTACCAAAATATCTGAGAACTCTCACTCTATGGGTGAACGCAGAACTTTTATTAATGTCTAAATAACTTACATTTCTCCAGTGAGGAACAGTCCTTCTCATCTCTCAGTATTAATATTTCACCAAAAAGGTGTAGCCAACACACTTTTGTCTATTTTATTTAAGAAATAAAAAACTACAGTACTTAAAAACATTTTAAAGTGGCTATTTGAAATTCTGAATTTTCTACTGACTCTACTTCTCCAAGTCACACATATATTAATGTCTATGGAACTAGTATGCTTATAGCAATCAATCAACCCATCCTTATCTGGAGGTCATTATCCTCAGCAAACTAATGTAGGAACAGAAACCAAATACCACATGTTCTCACTTACAAGTGGGAGCTGAATGATGAGAACACATGGACACACGGAGGGAAACAACGCATACTTGGGCCTACTGGAGGGCAGAAGGTGGCAGGAGGGAGGGGATCAGGAGAAATGACTGGAGGATACTAGGCTTGATACCTGGGTGACGAAATGGTGTGTACAGCAGATCCCTGTGGCACACGTTTACCTATGTAACAAACCTGCACATCCTGCACATACACCCTGGACCCAAAATAAAAGTTAAAAAAATAAATACTTATTTACCAAACAAATGTATCTAGAGCATATGCCAGGTGCTAGGCTAAACAAGACAGAATACTGACCCTCAAATGAATCACATTTTCATTATCTTCCTTCTTCCTCCCTTTAACTTAAAAAATTATTTCTGTTGTGGTAAAATATCATAACATAAAACTTACCATTTTAACCACTTTTAAGTATACAATTCAGTGACATTAAGTACGTTCACATTGTAGTGTAACCATCACCACAATCCATCTCCAGAACTTCATCATCATCCCAAACTGAAATGCTGTATCCATTAAACCCATTAACTCCTCATTCCCCTCTTCCTCCAGCCCTAGATAACCACTATTCTACTTTCTGTCTGTATGAATTTGACAATTATAGGTACCTAACATAAGTAGAATCATATAATATTTGTCTTTTTGTGTCTGCGATTTCGCTTAGCATAAGGTCTTCAAGTCTAATCCAAGTTGGAGCATGTATCAGAATTTCATTCCTTTTTAAAGAGTGAACAGGCCGGGCGCGGTGGCTCAAGCCTGTAATCCCAGCACTTTGGGAGGCCGAGACGGGCGGATCACGAGGTCAGGAGATCGAGACCATCC